AAGTCGGCTACACACATGCATACCACTATTACTCTTATTAGCTCTGGACTACCATGTCAAATTACTAAGTTACCAAATTCTTAAATAATTACAAGACAAACCAAGTACAACCACAAAACTCAAGTCTGCATTGCAGACCTTTTAAAATTTACTAGTCTAACCCCAATTGAACAAAACAACCGCAGCCAAAAGGAAAAAGTCATCATAGAGCCAGGCACAACCCTTTCACATGGGTAAAGGGTTATGTTCGATTCTGTGATCAGTTCCTAAGCAGAAGAAATAAGCGAAAACTAATCAAACTCAGCTCCCAATGAGATTCTCGAGGTGCAAAATGATTCTAATTATAATAAAAAAAACATTGGTCGCAAGTTTATACGCATCTCTCTCTACAGTAAGCCATATAACATAAGTCTCAATAACTAAATCCACAGATCTCAAGTCAACTAAATTAGAATCAAGAAAAAATGATTTTGTATATAACAACAATAATTTAGCAAGTGCATACAGAACCGTGCCCAAAAAATTTCAGGTTTTTCTTTTCCATCTCTAGTGTAATAAAATTCAATATTCAAAAAACTTAGGGAGCCTATGAGAAAATTACTTCTCAAATCCACGGTAATCGGTAATCTATTTAGTGAATAGTGACGTGGCTAGAAAGTGTCATTTAATCAGTTATTATCAATATCATTTAAATTATATATTATATACATATAAATATATTTTATAAATATAATTGGGTTAGGAGAAGCAAAATCTATCCCAACTCACTTTGTCATCGAAGCAGGGAGAACTTGTGCGAGGCAGGGCAAGAGATGCAGGGGTGGAGTGGAGCAAAGGGAAAGAAAATAATCATCCCTAGTTTGGCCAAATGAGCCCTCCCTTTTATATATGCAACATTGCCTACCCTAAGAATAATCTAGAATATACAGCTATGGGTGTGTGAAATTCTCTTAGAGCCATTCACAACATTTCTAACATATCCAGAACTATGTAGAATTTGGTCTAGGATATTGTATACAAGTTGTAGAATTGTGTACAATGTTCTTGTATCCTCTCAAACTTTTTGAGAGGTTCTGGAATCTTTCATGAACCTCCAATGTTCCAAATTCCAATCCTCTTCATTAACCTCTAATATTTCAATCCTCTTCTAGTGGAGATTCTGGATAAGCAGTGGCATAATTAAAAAATTTCTTTAATCAGCAATATCATTACATCATATTTTTAATTCTAAAACACTTATCAATATAAATTGTCACATGTCTACTGTAAATATACTGAAGCATCATGTATAATAATATTATAAAGTAATTCAAATTAGTCAAATTACACAACAATACTTATATACACTAATATACTATTTCGTCAATAAAATTAAAGACAATGCGATTTTCAATTAATCAAATAGAGAGAAGAGACAACGATTGTTCTTGAGAAAAAAAAAATATATATATATATATATATATTTGTAAGTAATTAATAATTTCATGCTTTACAAGAAATCTTTTTCCTTTAATATATTGCCCTTTTTTTGCTTTAAAAAAAAATTGTTTTAAAAGAATTCTTTTTTTCTTTCTTTTTTTTTCTTTCTTTTAAACTCTATTTATATATAAAATTTATACCCAAAAAAAATTTACAAAAAAAAATTCATAAATAAAAAGCATCTAAATTTTTATTTTAAAGTGAAAAGTCTATATTAAATTACATCATTTTATACATAAATTATGTATAAATTTTTGAAAAAATTACTCATAAATCCCATTTGGAGAAAAGTTGTTTCATTTAGTTCTAGAAGTTTTCTTTCAAACCAATTAGTCATTTTTATTTTGGGTATGTTGTATTTCCTTGAGAGTTTACTTATTTGCTCTTGTGTGTGATTTTGTTCCGATTTTTTTTCCTAATGTTGGGTGTGCATTAGTAAGATAGGTTTTTGTGTTTCTAATTTTTTTGTGCGAATTTAGTGGAGTGATTTGTGGGTGGATGATGTTACCCCGCTTACGGTGTTACTAGTGTGGTGTTCGTTCCTTTTTGTGGTGTCCGTCTCTATTATAACATTAACATTATAACATTGACATTAGTTAACATTCAAATGACTCAAATCACTAACTAACACTACTATATCCCTAATAACCATAACAATGTCAACAAACAGGGACAATTTCTCATATACAAAACACATGTTAACACAAACATCACAATGACAAAATACGGCTAACAAAAACTATAACATTACATAACACAATCATTGCTCGGCAACACAAAATTACATCAACTTGCCAAATGATTTCTACACATGCAGAATCCACAATAGAACAATGACCACACTACCAAAACCCCAATGTACTCCAAACCCACATTACCATTCACATACAACAACAATACGATGTGAACCTATAACATTACTGACCCAACATTACATATAAAAATAGACAACAATGTCGACAATCCAATCATAACATTTATTAAATAAATAAAATAATAACATCGAAACATATACCTGATGCTGCCACCGACGCAATAAGAAATGTACACACGCCGGTTATACATCGGTAATGTTAACCCAACGACAGAATGACATAGTTCTCGATCTTAATTGTTGTATTGACAAAAGTGGTGTATTTCTAGGGTTTCGGGAGAACCAAACATCAAAATTGGCAACCCAAAGATAGGGTTTAACGTTGCCAAAATCAGATAAATAACAAACAAAGCAATCTACACCCATTAACATGGGGAATCCACAATGTTTCCATCTTCGTCTCTTCCGTTTTGATTAGGATTGAGAAAAAACAAAAAAAAAAAAAGACTATAGTAAGCTTTTTGGGCACAGGAATTAAGGATTTCGTGCTTTAAAAGGAGTCTTTTCTTTTTTCTTTTTTCATTTTCTTTCATTCGTTTTTATATGAACTCTATTTACATATAAAATTTATACCCAAAAAAAAAAAAAAATCACAAAAATGATGTTACAAATAAAAAGCATCTTAAATTACATGATTTTATGAATTTTTTTTATATCATTATAAAAAAAAATGATATCATGATATTTATTATGTCAATAAGACTACCATCACCATATTTTTACATCATGTTTTATTTAGGGCTGGTTTGGCATAGTTTAATAAAGACAAGAAGGCAAGAAGCTATCACTATTCACAAAAAAAATATATATATAAAAAAAAAATTTATACAAAAAAAAATACAAGTCAAGTTCAACTTTTGTAATGAAGTGATGTGTTGTCTGCAGACTGCAGTTATGGTACAAACAATCAAGCGGATGCACTTCTCATGTCATGATACACAGGATAATGCTATTGGGCCTGTGGGGGCCCCTCACAGGTCCCGTTATGATAATCTGAACCATTTAATGTGTAGAATTCGTCGAGTACTATATGCTTGTAAAAAATCATGTTGATCGAATATCGATAACTATATAATCAACTTTGTATCAAAAAAATGAACGGTGAATAAATCAATGACTGACAAAAAACTGATCCAATCAGATAGTTATCGATATTCGATCAATGTGATTTTTTATAAACATATAGTACTAGATAATTTCTACACATTCAGCGGTTTCAATGATCAAAACGGGACCCGTAGTGAACCCACAGGCCCAACAGTACCCGTGAAACCTCATCCTATATACATATATGTTCTAGAGTTATCACCATGTTGAAAGCAATCCATACTGTCCTTCAATCAACACTGTTAGTGCGCATAGGACAGAGGGATAATAACGTAATTTTATTATTTTATACAATATTTTAATATACATTTTTTTATAAAAAGTCAAAAAATTATTCCCAACAACCATCTTTTATTCCTCCAATTTTTTTATCCAAAAAAGTCAAAAAATATACTTATTTAAAACACTCCAAATAACCCCTTACTATTTAATGTGTGACATACATAACTGTTAATATAATAATATCCATACAAGTCTCCTTCATATTCATATTCCACCATTAATAGTTATGTGCTAAACATTCATATTCATATTCCACCATTAATAGTTAGGTGCTAAACAAAAAATGATATAAAAGAATGATAAGCATAGAATCAATTATTTTTTAAACTTTTTTTTTTTTGATAAATCTTTTTTTTTTTTTTAATGGTGTCAATTTATAAAAACCTCTCAAAAAATTTACATACTACACAATTCTATAAAAATAAAAATAAAGCAAAGTTTAGTAGGTTCAATTGAACCCACTACTGTATGCATAGCTCCGCCCATGTCAGTGAAGATCGGTCCAGGTAGCAGGAAGACGAGCATTTTTACTAGTCAAACCCTGGCATTGCAAACTGAGTTGCAAACTTTTCAACCCGGGTTTGAAGCTCAATAATATCTTTGTTGTTTTGAAGACCCTTCAGGAAAGCTTTCTGCAACTTCCCATGCTCCCTCTGCACTGTGCTTGTAATTTGTGCAGCTCTAAGGAGGAAGTCAGCCATTGCCTCAAAATCAGCCTCTAGGCAACCTCTTGATGTCATAGCAGGAGTTCCTGAGGGCATAAACATGAAAAGTAATAATGATAAGAACACAAGTATCTTATAAAAAGAGTAAAACAAGAAATTTACTCCCTCGTTTCAAAATATTAGTCTCTTATTCCATTTTTCATTGTCCCAAAATATTAGTCCCTCTTCAAAAATCAAGTATAAAAATAATATAAATTTCTTATTTTGCCCTTCTTTTAAATTAATAAACAATATAAAAAGTACAATTATGACATTGATATTCTAAAAAATGTACTATCAAAAGGGTGATTTTGGAAAATCAACTTTTTTCAAATACAATAATTGTACTACCAAAAAAAGTTTAATTCCCCAAAAGGGACCATTATTTTGGGACAGAGGGAGTAATAACTTGGAATTTGATATGCAATAAGATTTTCTTCGCTTACCAATCCTTACACCTCCCGGCGTGATAGTGCCATTATCATCAAATATAGTAATTTTGTTGAGAGTAATGTGACACATCTCACAGACCTTCTCATAGTTCTTACCTATATATGGATACAAAAGATTAGGACCTGCTAAGATGACAAAGCATCAAATTACAGAAACAATTGCTACATAATGAACTGCAGCTAACTTAGTCTCAACATGTGGCACACAAAAACACATCCAGAAAGAGAGGGTGCAATAAAGCAGCCCCAACAACCAGAAGGGCCCCATCAATCATCAGGGAGTGTAATGCGACCTATAAAGGACTCAAGTTCTTGCCCCCCACAATCTGTTAACCATTCTCCTCTAACACTTCATCTACAAGGATTAAATCATTATAAATAATACAACACATTTATGTTACAAGAAGACATATCCCAATTTCCAGATTGTTCCCTTGGATTCAGAGTCAATTGCAAGTTTATAAGTTACTCTTTGGGAAGATGGTTATAATCAGCTTTTTGGTTAAAAGCTGATTATAATAAGCTTTTTGTGAGAGAGGGAAGTGGGTTATAATCTGGGAATTGGATTATACCCCACTTCCCAAAAGACCCCTTAGGATTAGCACATTTGACTACATACAGAATTCATCACAATGCTTGGTGGTGATCAAATGCTTGTGAACACTTTTAGCATCTCTAAATGGTATTGAATTTATCACAATTCTCGGCAAATCCGAAATTTGGGGACATTTTTTTCCAAAAAACAAAATAAGGTACGAAAGTTAAGCAAGGGCACTTCTATGAAGGTACCACCTCCATGTCGTGCACACAATGAACATCACCTCATGGACACTAATAGACACACGTTCGCAATTTTAAAATATGTATAATTGCTTTTGGAATGTCCACCTTTCTGTTTATTAGAGCACAGCAATGTCATCTTTCAGTTTATTCAACCCCTTTCATGTATTCTGGTTTTTATTTTTTATTTCTTTTCGCCCTTTCCTTTCGAGGGGTGGTTGAAACCACATAGAGACATAAGTTGTACTGCAGCTAGACATAGCTCAGTATCTACTTTCTCTTGTCTCATCTATAAATTACTTACAAATAATCTATAAATATCATGTCACCTGTCACAGAAACCACAGCAAACCGGTTTTAGCTTTCCCAAAATAAACATGAATTTGTATATCCAGATATGAAAACATCTAATTTTCCCATCAAAGAAGATAACAATACCTGTTAGTCCAAGAGTTCTTAGATCCCAAAGTACCAAATGGTTGTCAGTGCCTCCTGTTACCAGTCTGCAATTTCTCCTCAATAAAGCAGCTGCCAGAGCCTGAGCATTTTTCTTCACTTGTTGCATATATGCCTTGTATCCAGGAGTAGCCACTTGTTTCAAGGCAATAGCAAGGGCAGCAATGTGATTATTGTGTGGTCCACCTTGCAGGGCTGGAAAAACAGCAAAGTTTATCTTCTCCTCAAAGTCATAACTGTCACTACCATCACCTTGATTCAAAAGCATCCCTCTCTTCCTTGGCTTCGAACCTTTTCTGTAGAAAATAATACCTCCCCTGGGGCCTCGTAGACTTTTATGAGTTGTTGAGGTAACAATGTCACAATAATCAAAGGGGTTTACACACTCCTACAGAAAAATCAACCATACACGCTCTTAGAAGAAAATCTAATGGGAAAAAATTTTGAAAGCAAAAAACAGAACCACTTTCATGAATAAAAGTTCATTAAAGATGACATATATATATATAAGCAGAAATAGAAGAATAGAAAATATATATCAAGTTAACATGGTGTGAGCAAATCTTAGAAATAAAAACAGGCAAAAGCTAGACCCAAAAACCAGAAGATACGTAACAGGAAAAATAAGAACATGCTTTGACTAATAACATTAGGAGACGGAGTATATAACCATGTAATAAATCCCACTAATTCCTTATCATCTGACAGCTAACATGAAAATGCACTATCATATCCAACAAAAATATTGTATTAATTTTGGTACAATAAAGAAGCAAGCATAGAACAGAGAAAGAGTACCATCACTTAACATCAGTAGACTTGTAACACACTACATGCATGCATATTAACCATGAAAGAGGGAAGCCTAAAATTATGATTAGCAAATATCTTGGACATTTTTCTTTTTTGTAAGAAATTCTCACTTCTTAAAAAACCAAACTAAATCAAGCCAATCCTTAAATCCCATCAAATAGGGTCAGCTACATAAATCCTTCTTCTTCACTCGACCCTATCCAAAGCCATTTCATTGGTCAAAAACGACTCCACTCGACTCTATCCAAGGCCATTTCGTTAGTCAAAAACAAATAAAAAAAATTGACATCAAAAGCCCTCCCTGCTTTTGGATGGAGAATATTATGACAACATCATGTAGCTATTACAATGTATGAAATATAAAACAATATATTGCATCCCCAGCAGTCAAACCAGCAATGCATGCCACTAAGATTCATAAAGCAGATGCACTTATTGTTTTTAATAAGAAAAGCAACTTTGGCCTATTTTGAGAAGTAGGTTAAAAGCTGTTTTTTTTAACTTTTTTGGCTTTTTTTGAAAAAACGTGCAAAAAAATATAGAGGTGATGTGACCCAAAAAACCCAATAAGCTTGCTTTTATCCTGAGAGAGAGAGAGAGAGAGAGAGAGAGAGAAAATACTCTGCCAATAACCTATGACACTTTTTTTCTCTCAAATTTAGGGTTTAGGGTTTAGTTCTCATATTGTTCAGTTGAAAAATGATTACAAAAGAACATACTTCCATTGTGTGGGGAAACATGGCATTATTTCAGATCAAGACCTAGATCACAACAACATGATTCTAAAAAACTAGTTATGACGATCATAAATCAAGTCCTAACATTCTTCAACTGGAAATAAATAAATAAAGAGAAACCAAACGAATAGTATGCTTGATTGTAGCACAACCAGATTCGCAGATCAAGGCCAAATACGGTAATAGCATTTTATGATCACACTATCATATATTACACCCATACTTGTTCTTTTTTTGGAACATATAACATGCGACCATAAAATAGTTTTTTCTATGAACATATTGAACACCACAGCCATGATATGCAATTGTTGATCTCTCAAAATACAAAAATTCATGTAATGAGAATGGTGTAACCAAAAAAATAATAATAATATTCATTGATTTCAGTAAACAACCTTATTGCTGCAAGAGCAGAAAGAGCCAGAAGAGCACATCAGACTGTAAAATTGAATCAGTTAATCTCTCATAGAAGGGAGGATGACAATGCTTCTATTTAATGTATAAAACATAATAAGCAGCAATAAGCAGCAGAGACTGGGACAGGGGAACGAACACGGACAAGGACACTGGACAACGATTTTTAAAAAACCAAGTTACGAACATAGCAGGGATGTGGCAAAAAATTAATTTTTATATGTATTTATGTTCTATGTATATGAATATAATATCCACAAATAATGAAAAAATAACACCAATTCAACATGAAAAGCATTCAAGTTCCATAATAAATAGATCATTCATCAAAAATACAAAAAAACACAAAACAAATAAGATATCATCCAATACATCATTACAATCTAAGAAGAAGGAAAACACAAGCAAATAGTTTAGTTGGCAATTAAATAAAGAATTAAACAAGTATCTAGGAAATTTGAGTGATTCTAAATTATTACAAGCATATTAAATGATTGTCGGTGGGTGGCGTATTTTTCAGATGGAGGTTCACTGAAAATGATCAATTGTGGGTATCGTCTCTCAACCCTGTTCTGCCTCTCTAAAATAAATTTAGGGCACAAAGATATAAGTGGGCATAGATGCGTATGTATGTAGGGATATTTTTCTTTTTTTATCACTTTCAGCCATTTTGTTTCCATATATGTTGTTTTAACCCCAAATCAACTTTCTAAATTATTTACAAAAAGCCCACAAACCAAATTGTTTGCCCCGCACAAAAAACAAGAACTTAAAAATAATGAATTCTCGTGTCAAATTTTTCAAATTTATTTTCACAAATCGAAAGTACTTACAGAGATCTCTTAATTGGTGAAATTAAAAAATTAAAATTTTCTCGTTTTCCCTGCCAAACAAACAATTTGAGACAAAGGGAATAAAAAAAATTGACACGCTGCGTGTCTTGTCTAACACATGGACACAAGTGTCCACACCACGTCTGCATCAGTCAGACACAGGCACGACACCATTTTGGCAAATTCGTGCTTTCTAGATAACATGTAACAAATCTGGAAAAAGTAACTCTTAGAGCAGAGGAACCATCTTCAACAACAAGTCACACTTCAAGCAAGGGAATGTGAAGCTCAATAAGCAAATTCCTTATACACACAAATTACACGTAAATAGATAGCACAAATCCTTCTTAAAGGGTAATGTGCCCATTCCAAATATATATTGTTACAAACTTACGAATCCTTAATGGAGAACAAACTATTATGCATGCTCTCTGCGTCTCCCTGATGCAATAGCAATTGCATGTCCTTTCGAAATGCCTTAAAATTTGGGATTCAAGCATTTCAACTTCTGCAGACTACATTAAATTAGTTGACCTTCTGAAGCAACAAAAGTTTAGCCAAATTCAACAAGCCTATCAGTTTTCTATTGGCATCTCATCTCCCCATTGTTATCTAGCCCACAATAAGAGATGCATCCAAAGGAGGAAGACAACCACAATAACATGGTTGACAATGACATATGAGAAGGGAGCAAATTCCCAACATTTGTAAACTTAACTTCATAACAGCCTCATAGTCAAGCACAATAAAGACAAGTCTTTTCTACCACAAAACACCACGTGCATTCTTAATTCCAAGGATTTCATCGATAGTGTTCACTAACATGAAGAACCAAAACCAAATGCGCCTAATTCAAGGAAAAAAACAAACTCGAATCTGTGAAATAGAAAAAGCGCACAAGCAGGTACAGTTACCAACATAAAAGAAACATAACAAGGATATTAGGTAGAAACTCAATAAGAAACTAAAGATAAGTAGCAAAATTTTCACCTTAGCCGCAACAAGACCGCTAATTTGAGCCATGTCACACAATAATACAGCTCCACATTTATCAGCAATCTGTCTAAGCCTTGCATAATCCCACTCCCGAGGATACGAACTCCCACCACAAATAAGTATCTTTGGGCGAAAATCAAGTGCCCTCTCTTCAAGTTTATCATAATCTATGTACCCAGTCTGTGGGTTCACCTTATATGGGAGGCTTTCAAAAAAGATTGAAGCCCCAGAAACTTTCCTACCATTAGGTGTATAGTACCCATGACTAGTATTTCCACCAGAAGGAGTATCCAATCCCATTATTCGATCCCCGGGTAATAATAAACCTGTGTAAACAGCGAAATTCGCCGATGTACAAGAATATGATTGAACGTTTACACCCCAATTCTCCGAATCAAGACCAAAAGCAATCAAAGCCCGCTCGCAACAGAGAGTTTCGATCTCATCAATGTACTGATTACCACCATAATACCTCGCCCCGGGCATTCCTTCAGAATACTTATTCGTCAAATGGCTCCCCAGAGCTTCCATTACTGCCCGGCACACGAAATTCTCAGAAGCTATCAATTCAATCCCTTTGAATTGCCTCTGCTTCTCCTTCTCCATAATCCCAAAAACATCAGGGTCCGCAACGCTGAGCGGCTGATTCCCCCAAGCCCTAACCGAATTCCTCCGCCATTCCAGACCTTGATGGATCAAAACCCGTTTCGAAGACGACGACGAAGCCGACGCTGATTCCCCATCTCTCTTCCTCTTCAAACACATCGAATGACCCAAAATCCGAAACTCCTCATCCTCACTCTCCCCCTCCTCATTCTCGTAATTCTCCGTCTGCGGCTCCATCAATTGCAGCGGAATCGACGTCACCGGAATCGAGCGATCGCTACAGCTCGAATCGACCTGAAACGAGATAGAATCGTCGGCGATTTGGGACCGGTGAGTCGAAGGCACGGACGAATGAGAGAGTAACCCGAGAGAGAGATTCGACTGCGAGTGCGATAAATCCATGGCCACAAAACCCTAACCCTAGATGAGAGATTGAATTGAATTTTCAATAAAAGCAGCAACAGAAACAGCGACAAGAGCGTTTGAAGAAGTTACAAGAACAGTATCGCAAATTGGATCGTCGTGAGGTTGAGGTTGAGGTTGAGGTTGAGGTTGTGGTAGAAGCTTCCATGGAAATCTGTAAAACCCTAATCGCCCAAAATCAATCGCACGATGCAAATGGAGATGAGGGTAAGGCGTGGAATTGACGAAGACGGGTTAGATTCGTTTTATTTGGGGGGAATGAATCTGGACCAGTTTGTCAGCCTACGAGATGTTTTTCCGGACAAAATGTTAGACACAAAAATTATACCAAAAATTTTATTAAATACCTCTCGTATCAGACTGCGAAACACGCATAAAACTCACATTAAATGAAGGGAAATGTCTCGTACCTCAAATTTTGTAACTCAAAAATAATTTAAATGGTCAAAACGACGTTATTTTGGCCATTTTTATGTTATTTTGTATTCAAAATGACGTTATTTTGACCATTTGAATCACTTTTGAGTCACAAAATTTGAGCTACGTAACATTGTCGTTAAATGAAATATTTGATAAAATTATTGACATCTTTTAGGCCAAATTTGGAAAATTATAAAAATATTAAAAAGTTATTCAAAAAGTTAAAAAATTAACACTATTTATCAAAAGTTAATAATTACGGTTGCATAACTTTCAATTCGAATTTTTCCCTATAAATCAATTTTTATAATTTTTTATTACACATTTTTCCATAAAAAATCAAAAAGTTAACCCAAACATCTATATTTTCAACCTCAATTTTTTAGTCTAAAAAAACAAAAAGTATACTTATTTAGAACACCTCAAACAATCCCTTAATATTATTCTTTTTCGGAGCTCTGAACACTAATTGTCACTTTAGTGCAGCCAGCCAAAATAATAAAAATATATATATATATATATATAATATATGCGTAAACTCTTGATTTGTTATATAATGATATATAGGGTCCTATATCATTATAACGCAAATTAGAGTAAATTACTAACACCTCCTTCAAGATTTGACTAAAATATAAATTTTTTCTTGAGATTTGAGAAATTACATTCCGCCCTCTGAGATTTATATTTACATAACAAATTGTCTCTTGAAATTTATATTTGTATAACAAATTACCTCCTTATTTGTTATGTAAATATAGACCTCTGAAGATAATTTGTAATTTTTCAAATCTCAATAAAGAATCTGTATTTTACTAAAAGCTCAAGGAGTGTTGATAATTTGCCTCTTAAATTATGTGTCTAAAAGCGTGAGGCTTTAGTATTTCTCAAAATAAAAAATCCAAGGGAACGTACACCTAAAAAGTAAAAATTTTATGGCAAAATGTATAGCTTTGTCATAAAATGTATAATTTTAATTATAAAAAATAAAATTTTTATTATACATAACTGTTGGCTACATATTTTGTAAAAGCCAGTTACAGTTCGACACGTGGCAGAGTAAGGGTAATAAAGGAAGGTTATTCAAGCCTTTAATCCTGATCGTACACGTGGCAATAAATATTGGTCCTCACATGATCTGAGTAACACTAGATCAAATAACGGGATGCAAGATGACGTGTCTTCAACGGTTACTCATATTCAAATCCAAGTACAAGAGGGAAGCTCAACTGCCAGTAATGGCGTAATGGGTCCTCCCATATAGTGGATTTCCTCATGGAGGTCTTCTATATGGTTGTCGGTCGCCCATTGGGATCGGTCGATTGGTTTCCCACATGGGGGTCTTAGAAATGATCTAGGGCAAACAGCAGACCGACGTATATTTAGAGCTTGGTCCCAAGTCATGATGTTGAACTCCTTCATTGTTGCTTGGGCTCATATTAGAAGAGTGGTTATTTGTGTGGTTTGGAGTCTTCTCTATGCTCAGTCTGGCTGAGACTTTGTCTTCTCCATTGGGCCACTTATTTGGGCTATGCCCATCAGTAGTATGTTTAAGTTAG